TGATCATGAACCCATGTTGGCCAAGATACACGCGCTCATGAAACACCTGAGCACCATCAAGTGTCGTGCTGCCCGTCGCAAGGTGACCTCTCTAGCGCCCGTCATGCCCAACGCGACTCGTTGGTCGAGTACCTACAGCAGTACGACAAGATTTGTAGCGCTCTTCTCGCGTTGTACCACGCTACGGTGGCTAAGCATGACATCGCGCGCTTTCTACTGACGCCAGAGGAAACCGAAGCCGCTCGCTCCCTTCTCAAGTCGCTGCACTAGCTGAATGAGGTGAGTAAGACGCTACAAGATTAACTCTAACAGTGGTGGGTGCACGACGTGCCTTTGATGCAGTGTTGCGCAAGTACCCCAGCATGAAGACCCGGCTTGCAAGTGACGCCTCCGTCGTGAACAATCCCGAACTGGAGAGCGGCATCGTGAAGATCATTGGCGGTGTCGGCTGAATGCACGCGAACAAGCGGCGTGTATTCATCTCAAGCGCAGCAGCGACGACACAGTGGTAAACCCAGCAGTTTCCAAGTCATTTCTCGCGTCGGCCTTCAAGAAGGCCCCTGTGACGCGCTCCCCACCGCAATACTTTCCTCTCGAGTGGGTTCCACCCACGTCGAACGAGTGCGAGCGTTTCTTCAGTCAAGCCAAGCTGGTTCTGACCGACCTAAGGAAAGCCATGGACCCTAACACTCTTGAACTTCTTATGTTTCTATCCTACAACAAGAAGGATTTAGTGTTAAAGCTATCAGGCAGAGTATGCGTAGTCAACTTAGGGAATAATGCCATTATTATTGTCGTGGCGTAATAGCAGCAGAATATATTGAGTATGGCATATTGGGGAACCCTGGTCGAACCCATCACCGGAGCACCACACACGACCCGATCGCAGTAGGTGGACGGAACCAAGTCCAGATTCGGCTGCGTGTCCACGTCGGGTTCCATCTTGTTGCTCGCGTTGACCGCGTAAATCGCGCGGGCGATTTCTCTGTGAGCATTGAGCCCCCCCCTCATCGCAGATAACGCTATCGATCACCTCAGCGTCCGCAGCGACATCTGCGATGCCCTCCGTGCTGCATGAGGCTTTGCCAGATGTAATAGTGGCTTTGGGTGAAGTCGGTTGGTCAAAGGTGTCCACCATAAACTACATTCGAGGGTCCAGTACCAGAATAATCACCGACTCTCCACTACCAAGCTGCATATCCTGCAGATATGGTACCGGCACATCGTGAACTGGGCAGCGTTGTTGTCCAACAAGCACTAGATGACAAATGGACGAAAGGAGAACTTACCCGGCTGCTTCTCGTGAGACGCAAGTGCGCTGTGTGCTGGACCCGCAGACCCGGTGCTTGTATGCCGATGTGGGCCGCTGGTATCGTGAAGAAGGAGCTGCGACGATTCCATCAATTGCGGTGTTTGCCTGCGTTTGACTGGTCAGAAGTCCCTCAAAAACCTTCCAGGAACACGTCTTCTCTATGGGTACCTTCATCGTGAGCCCTCTTCGCTGACTAACGGGAAACCATTGATCTGAGAAGCACGTGCTAATAAAGCACAATCGCAGCATGATGTGGAAGGTGGAGCTAGCGAGCGTCGAGAAAGCGGTCCACAGAGATGTCTAGTAAGTCAAGCGCCAGTAGGTTAAAGTACTACAGTACTTCTACTACCGTATCTAGAAGTGCTCCATATCCCGACTTTACCATCCGAATGCTGCTTTCGATGGTAGTGCCAAGCATTAAATGAAAAATGTAATGTTTATTATCCAAATTAAATTATTAATATATATAGAAGCCTACATTGGACGTTCAAATGGAGCTAGTAGCATCGTAATCGTAGTAAACTGCTTGCTCTTTTAGGTACATGTAGGTAGTTCTTCGTCGGCTAAAACGAGGTATGGCCGTATGCTACGGTCAGCGTACTCTCCGCGCCACATTAGATCACGCACCCACGTCGGTGGCTGTAACTCACTTAAATTAAAGCGTTAGAGCGTGCTATTTAGATATGTTGTTCCTGCTATCACACAAAATAGGCTACACTTGCGATTTTGCAGTTTACACCAGGCTCCAATACAAATAATTGATTAATCATGCCCACCATAGTATACTAATTATGAAAATTGGGATAATTTATACTCAATAATATATCAGTCACGTGCGCGTCGTTCGCTAAGCTTGATTCGACTACATAGTGGTCGATGATCTCAATTCATCATGGAAATACGCATACCAGGCAGTGCTACAGTCTTTAAAGACATCACAGGCACAGTTCAATCGATTTCTATGTAAAATTCTGAGTATAACATTGATTCGGCTCAATTCTGGAATAACTCGCTCAGATGGAGCTACCGACTGCTGGAACGCCATCAACAATTGTAATTGTCCTCCCTGATGGTATCTATTTGTACAATGATATCAACCGAAGCATTCAACCACTCTTAATGCAGGACTTATCGGGGAACAATGTTTTTTTACATACAGTTGACTGAAAATAGCGTTTACTATGCGGCTTAAATCGATTTAGTGCAACACCAACGACTCTACTATCGGGCTATACAAGACCTGCGACTGGGTTATACAGCGCCGGAGGAACAGGCTTACCTACTACAACACGTGAGCTCCGAATGGTCAATGATAACACTGTTTTTGGCAAAGTCACTTACCCCGCTGCACCAGCTACGGTATCAGGTGTTCAGCTATCGAGCATCACCCCTCAAATCCATCCGACATCGTCGTATATCGATCGATGCGATCTCATCAAGAATGAATACGTTGCTTCTAGTGATATTTTTTAGTGCATTTGATCAAGGTGATGCAGCTGTCGGACAGCTTATTAGTTATAGGCCCAGCCTTGGATGAGCTGTTTCAACGAATCTCGACCGAGCATCACGATCTCTATTTACAATCCGAATGATCAGAGAGTCACGTTAAGAGACTCATCCGCTAGCATCATGCTCCTCTTGAGGGCAAAAAAAGGAATCGATATTTTTGGGACATCACAATCGAAAAGTGGTCCCAAGCTTGCGCTTAGCACGCACCGCAGAAACTTTAGCCTTCGCTTCATCGGATTACCTCACGGATCGTTTACTCAAACCGACTCCGAATCGACGACGAACCTCACCACAAATTGATGTGATCAGTGTCTCATGCTCTAGTTTGGTTGCTTTGGAGAGGAGGTACCTCTCGCCTGCGTCAACTCCATCGGTTAATACGCCTTTTCGTTTGACATATAGAGAGGGCGTTTCTCACTGACTTCTTAACGCCTGCAATGATGATACTTCCGCGGCTTTTATCCACATCATCACTATCATAGATGCCGACTCCGCTAAACTTATGAGCAGTACGAGCTAGAATTCATGCCCGAGGAACTCCGAATGCGGTCGCGAGAGCGGGTACGGCAACATCAGCTGCTTTAGAGAGTAGTGCGCTATCTTTAGGGAAGCTGAATGCTGATTTCAGACCCGATTTTATCGAATTCCAGATAGATACACCCTGAGCTCGCTTGTAGCCTTTTTTATCTCATGGCGAGCAATATCGAGTCGAACACCGCGTCCTGCCTTGTGTGCTTTGAGAACCTTCTCATACGATGATGGATGAAAACAGATAACCGCTTCACTGCCTTTTAGCGCTCGTAAGGGGAAGCTTACCAGTCTTGAGTGCTTTGGTGAGTTTGGTTGCTGGTAAATCGCTTGAAATCGTCAGTTCACGATTCATGGTTGTTATATTTCTTGAAACGATTTATCCTAGATTGGTTAAATTCATGTCTTCCATATTTTCTATAAGGTCGGGTTGATTGTACTGCCTCATCGTAGGCCCCCTGGTATTGCTTGGTAATGTATTTGCTGATTCCATACTTCGATGGAGGGCCTTCTCCCATTAAGACATAGTATTGACGATAGGAATGGCGCTCTGTCTCGTGTACAGGAAAAAGGGACTCATTTTTTTGTAAAATTAGGTTTGCTTTGTGTGTAATGATATATACGGGTCGTCCTGGTGAGTTAGGGTTGGGTTATTTAGAAACTGCACTATACCTTGGTAACTATTACTACTTCCATTGGCTCGTCGTAGTCGACTTCTCCTTATTCGAGTTCGGAGAGCAGAAGGCCAGCACCTCTGGGCGGCGCTCGCGGCTCAGACGAGCTCGGGCTTTGCTCTCTTCGTGCCGATGGCTCAAGGAGCGTGGTCCGTGTCGACGACGATGCTCTTGGCAGTACTCCCCCAAAGAAGACGCTCGTAGAGAAGTTGCAGGACGGAGTCGAATGTCTGAGACCTCTGGAGCAGAAATATCGCTAAAAAAGCAACTGCAGCCCCGCTGCATGTAGCTTTTTTCAATCTTTGAATGCGCTGGTTTTCGCTAAGACGAAGCCACCGGAGCACGCGTGTTGGACCTTGACGGCGGCTTTCAACTGGTCTTTGACCTCGTTCCACCCTCGGATGGCCTCCACTGACACATTATACCGGTACCTAACGCTAAGACGGCTGACTGGTAGGTAATAGACCGAGCCCAAATTTGAATCATGTTTTCTATTTAAATAGGTGTTTTAATTGTGGTTCGAGCTCAAATAAACATAAACAGGACATCTGTTTAGAGGACATATGTCTACTATGCGGGGTAAGACTGTAGTATGGAGGATACTGTAGAGGTTACCCCTCCATTCCACTTCACTTGTCCCCTTCAGCTTTTCAGCTGTTTTAAATTACTTGTCCTCTAATTAAAACTTAGTTCAGCTAAGGAGAGGTCACATCTCGGTCACATAAAGTGCAAATCTGGGGGCCGAATGGAGACGATGTTTAGGCGAAATTTTTTTTTTTTTGGCCAGAACACTATTAATAAAAAAGACCACAGTTTTCTTTTTTAAAACAGTTTTTCGTTTTTTTCTAAAGCAGCTGTTTAAAAAAGTGGTAAAATAGCGAAGTATTTGGATATTTCAAGAGCCTGGCGGACAATTTTAAAATAAGGTGTGCCACACAAAAGGAAACCCTTCCACAAGTTCGTGACAGCATTTGACCATGACAACACCGGCCACTGCAGCTTCCTCTTCATCCAATGACACCGCTCTTGCAGTAGTAGCAGCCTCGCAACCCGCTGATACGGACCCTTTGACCGACCATGACGACTTCGAGGGCGCCAAAACCGTCGCTGTGCCGCGTTGCAGCACGTGGTTCGCCATGGACAAGATCAACCCCATCGAGAAGCGCATGCTACCCGAGTTCTTCGCCGAAAATGCCTCAAAGACGGCTGAGATCTACCTCAAATACCGCAACTACATGGTGCACGCCTATCGTCAACAACCAGGCGTGTACTTGACAGCGACAGCGTGTCGTCGCAACTTGGCAGGCGACGCTTGTTCCATCCTAAGGGTACACGAGTTCCTGACCCACTGGGGGCTCATAAACTTCCACGTACCGCCTCATGCCATGCCTCCATCCATTCACTCGAACTACGCTCTAAAAACCGCTCAAACCACTGCCACTAGTGCAGAACTGGGGCCTGTAGCCATGCTCGTAGCAGCCAAGAAGGAGAACACTCGACGCTTGGACGTCCCATTGGCTTGCGAGGCTTGTGGCACTGCTAGAGGGCCGGAAGATTCGTTCTTCGAGCTTACTAGTGAAGCCAAGAAGAAGTTCACGAGCAACGGAGCTTCAAGTGCCAACACTGCGACGCCTATGGCCACTGGAAGTAACGGGAAAGGAGGCGAAGGCAAGGAGCTCTCCGTCGGGGGCTTCGCCTTGAGACCAGGCAGTGGCATCTGCGAGGAATGCTACATCCGAGGAGCTTTCCCGGAGGGATACGACACGTCGGACTTTGTGCTGATGCCTACGGTAGCCAAGCGTCTCTCAGCTGCTTCGAAGTGGACACAAGAGGAGACGGACCTGCTACTGGACGCTGTGAGTTGCACCAGAGCGAACAACGTCAAGAGTGCGGGGAACGAGGACGAAGGAAGCTGCGACTGGAACTTTGTCGCCTCCAGAGTCGCCACCAAGACGGCAGACGAGTGTTTGCTGCACTTCTTGGAGATGCCGATGCTTAACCAGAGTCGACCACTTGGGAACTCTATGCAGTCATCATTGGGGTCCTTTACGGCCGGAGAGGCGCTGAATGCGCCCGTGTTGGACTTGGCAGCGCTAGTGGACCAAGTGGACCCGTCGGTAGCCAAAGCTGCGGCTTATGCTGCTCTTGGAGCCATCAGAAGGCTGCATACGATGCCAGCTGTAAAGACTAGTGCTACAACAACCGCTATAAAGGTTGAGACGTCTCTTGAAGCTGCTGCGGATGCTGTAGCCAGCAGTGCCGAAGCTGCGGGAATTGCGTCGAATATCAAGGCAGAAGACGGCGATGTGGCTATGGAGGAGGTGTCCGCTTTGACTACTGCGACCGACTCGGCTTTAGAGAGCAAGAAAGACGACACTACCGTGTCGAAGGAGATGATTGCAGTCACTGAAGAAGCCGCCAATGCGACGACAGTGGCGTTGTTGGCTACACGAGCGCAGCAGACGGCGGACGACACTGCCAACGGCCCTGTGCGCGAGCTCGTGAACCAATTGCTGGAGAACCAGCTGCGACAAATGGAGCTGGAGATGCAACAGCTCAGTGTCTTGGAGCAAAGTATTGTCGCGGAGAAAGAGCAGCTAGCTAGGGAGAAGTACCAGCTCTATGTGGACCGACTGGCCTTCTCCCAGGAGAAGCTGAAAGGTCGATCGTAGCGTAGAACCAGATAAAGGTCCATGATGGTTCTTAAACGAAGGCAGAAACAAAAAGGATCTCTTATGTTGTGTCGGCTAAAAAAGGTCGGTATCTTGAGGGAGAATAAATAGATTTTGGTAGTTTCTAAGCCTGCTGTCCCCATGCTCATGTCGGAGGAGTCTTCATCATGCATCGTGCGAACGAAGGTGACGCTCTAATAGATTGCTGCTTATTGTGAGTGGAAGGCAAGCTGACCTGCTGCTATGCAGAGCGATCAAGTTGTGTTGGATGCGCTGACGAGTCCTGTGGCCAATGTGAAGAGTGTGGATCTGCGCAACCTTAACCTGGATCAGCTGAGTGTGGGACAATTGGGTTCACTTTTTGGAGGTTGCGGTCAGGAATGTCAGAGCTTAGCACTTGAAAAGTGCACGCTCTCTGGCGATCGATTTCTCGCTATGGTGACCGATCGATTGACCAGAAATCGTGTGACGCTAGCACATTTTCGAGCAGTGAGGTGAGATTTTAATCCATTTTTTTTTACACTTACAAAGACTTGATATTTGTATTCAAAGCTGCCAGCAAGTGACGATGACTTCACTCATTGCCATCTCGACACTTTTCACCGCATCGCTGGTGACGCTGGAGTTGTCATCATGTAAACTACCGCGACAAGCTGGGATCATCTTGAGTCAGTCGCTTCAAGCTTGCACGTCGTTAAAGAATCTCCTTCTAGCCGACAATAACATCCGCGACGGTGGCCTTCGTGCGATTGCGGATGCCTTGAAACTACTCAACGCATCGAGTAATAGTGCGGTGTCGACGGCTTTGGGTAAGGACGAAGCTCCGCATATACTGGAGCACTTGGACATTTCTCGAAATGGGATTACGTCATCAGGGTTTGCCTCCTTACAGCAACTTCCATTGAGGTGTCTGAGTGCAAGAGGCAACATGATTGAAAGTGGTGCTGGCGCCTTGTTACTTAGCAATGCGTCAACATTGGAGACGCTTTGCTTGCTTGGGAATCCGCTATCAGAAGATGGCAAGCTCGACTTGGTTCGCTCGCTCTTCCGACGTCGTGATAGGACAGGCAAAAGCGCTTTACGTGAGCTAGATCTGCGCGCTTGTGGCTTCAACACAGCCGACAGTCTGGACCTGCTCCAACGCAGCTTTCTTCAGGCCGCAACGGCGAGTCAACAGTGTTCAGTTCAGACTCTTCATCTAGACAGCAATGTATCTACAGATGAAGGTGTAGACTTGAAACAATTCCAGGAATGCTGTGAATCTTTACAACAAGTTGCGAAGACGAACTTCCCAGGCCTTCGACTTCATTTCCAGTCGGACTCTCACATAGAAATGTCACCCAAACGGAGTGTTCACCCAAAAGCTAGTAACATCTCCAAGTCTAAAGCAATTGCGATACCAAATACTTTGAGTATAAGCGGTGAGCTCGAGGCTGTGGCAATTGCGACGAAGACCAGCGTAAACGCCACGTTAGCTTCGGTCACTCGTCTGTCTACTCCCCCGTTATCAGATCAGCAAGAGCTTTGTGCTGGATACGCTGGTCAAAATGAATCGGTCATTCTTCACCCGTTACCGTCCGATGCATTGAGAAAACCGACCGCTATAGTCCAGGCACACTCGATCCAGCCATCAAGTGTTGCAACCCCAACAATACGAGTGGAACCCGTGACGCCACTCCCGACACAACATGTCGATGTTGAGTACATTGTCACTAAGACTATCGAGTGTATGAGTCACAATTTTGAGCTACGCCTAGGTCAATTCCTCTCTCGAATGGAGACACAGCAAACAGAGCGTGTACGTCAAGTCAAGCTCACTAGACTTGGCTTCATCTACTGACAATATTTTGTGTATAGAACGCGTCGCAAGTGCAGCTTCTAGCAGCTAAAGTTGAGGCTTGTGAACGTGCGTTGCCGCGGTTTGAAGCGCGTCTGGATATGCTGACAGACCGAGTTGCAGCGGGAAGTGCCCAGCTGTCAAAGCTGCAGTCGGATGTTGCTCTGCAGCTTCAGCATATTCGTCAGGAGGCGCTGACGCAGCAAATGAACAATCCATACAGCCAGCTATCGCCCACCGCCTCACTGACGTCTCGCATGCAATCGCAGGTGGACGAACTGGTGTCCGGTAGAGTACAAGCCAGTGAAGAGCGTTTGTATGCGGATGTGGAACGTATTGTAGCTGTCCAGGCCAAGGTGGCGCCAACAGACCCGAACGCGGTCGTGAATGCAGTTTCGATGCACTTATCGCAGTTTAAACGCGAATTTGACACTAATCAGGCGGCAGTACTGCGTCAGTTCACAGAAAATACGAGCTCGGATGCGCAGATTGGAAGACCGCATTGAACGGATTGAGAATCAGATCGATAGTCTCGAGACTGTGATTCAAAGTGAGCAACAAGCTTCCCTCTTAGCTCTCGAGGCCATTTCGGACGCTTTTAACGATCCCGCTGCATCGATTCGCACTAAGAAGGCGTAAATGTAATAATAATGCATTTGTTTGCAATGAAGGTACATGTATCGACAACTCATGGTCGGCATCCAATCAGTGGATCCATTTGGGTTTGAAGTTGAAGCTGATGCTTTTATTAACCAATCATTGATTGCGTCTAATCACTTGCTTAACTCAATACTTTACCAGAATGGGCTGTGTGTACTAAGAAGATGCTGAAATATCAGCTGCTATTTGTACTCATTGCAGTTATCTCTAGAATCTAGTAATAGCAAAACTAGCCAATGTCTGCATCGATTGGTCCATGAAGAGGTGTAGACGGTGCGTCACTGCCCGACGTCACCGGAAAACCCATCCCCGTAGCAACAGCAACAAGAACGAGTTGCTTTTCGTCCGCCGCTTCCTGCGACCATTTTACAATTGCCTCGGCAACGAACAAGTCTCTTCGTTCCACTTCCGTTTCACCTCGTCGTCATGGCCATCGCCAATTCGAACACGAAGTCTGAGCTCGTTCTGGACGGCGAGTCTCTCTGTGCTGAAGACCTGGTGCAGCTGTCCAAGGGAGACACGAGAATCTCGCTAAGTCAAGAAGCCTGGAAGCGCGTGGCTTGTGGCCGTGAGGTCGTGGACAATATCCTCAAGGACAAGACTCGTGTGGCGTACGGTATTAACACGGGCTTCGGACTCTTCTCCAACGTCATTATCGGCCCCGAGAAGCTCACAGAGTTGCAGGAAAACCTCATCCGCTCGCACTCGTCTGGCACAGGCGAGCCGTTGACATTCGCTCAGACGCGTATGCTGCTCGCGCTGCGTATCAATGTATTGGCTAAGGGACACTCGGGGATCCGTGTGCACACTCTGGAGCAGCTAATAGACGCCTTTAACGCCGACTGTCTGTCCGTGGTGCCAGCCAGAGGCACTGTGGGCGCCTCGGGCGACTTGGCTCCGCTAGCACACCTTGCACTCGGTATGATGGGTGAAGGACCCATGTGGGATAAGGTGGATGGTCAGTTCGTCATCAGCGAGGCCTCCAAGGTCCTGGCCAAGCACGGACTGAAGCCTGTTCAGCTCGGAGCAAAGGAAGGTCTGGCTATGATCAACGGCACACAACTCATCACGTCGGTGGGTGCTGAGGCGGTTGTCCGTGCTCAGAACGTCGCTAACTGCGCTGATATCGCCGTCGCATTGACACTCGAGGTGCTCTGCGGTACTGTCAACGCCTTCCACCCGCGTATTCATGCAGCCCGTCCGCACACTGGCCAGATGCTCGTTGCCTCGCGTATTCGCACACTACTACGTGCTGACAACCCGTCCGAGCTGTTCCGTAGCCACAACTACGAAGGAAAGGTGCAGGACGCCTACACTCTACGTTGTGCGCCTCAGGTGCACGGCATTGTGCACGACACGATCAACTTCGTACGTGGTGTGCTGGACGTCGAGATGAACAGTGCCACAGACAACCCCATGGTCTTCACGGGTAGTGCCGAGGTCACGACGGATCTGTCTCCTTCAATTGACACGAATCAAGTCAAGCCCAACATCGAACAGGTAGAACACGAGATCACGGATCTGAATGACGCCAAGGAGGAGATCAAGCGTCTTAAGGCTCTTGTTGCACAGAAGCAGAAGCCTGTGGAACACCCGGCGGCGGGTATGAAGCGCACATCGGACACGTTCTACCGTGGCGGCGGTGGCTTTGTCATCTCTGGCGGCAACTTCCACGGCGAGTATCCGGCTAAGGTGCTGGACTACCTGGCAATTGGTATCCACGAGATTGCTAGCGTTAGTGAGCGTCGTATTGAGCGTCTAGTGAACCCAACGCTCAGCAACCTGCCGGCTTTCCTCGTGCCAGAGGGCGGTCTGAACTCGGGTTTTATGATTGCTCACTGTACGGCAGCCGCTCTGGTTTCGGAGAACAAGGTGCTCACACACCCGTCGTCGGTGGACTCGATCTCTACGAGTGGAGCCAAGGAGGACCACGTGTCGATGGGAGGCTTTGCTGCTCGTAAGGCGCTTACGGTTGTGGAGCATGTCGAGACTGTAGTTGCTATTGAGATTCTGGCAGCGTGTCAAGCCCTTGACTTGCTGCGTCCGCTGCGTACGACGGAGGCTCTTGAAGCTGTCCACGGACTGGTACGCACCCGCGTGGCTAGGTTTGACAAGGATCGCTTCATGAAGCCCGACATTGACGCCGTGCTGGACCTCGTTCGTAGTGGAGCTATCTGCGACGTTGTAGCTCCGTTCTTGTCAAAACTGCACGTGTCAGGACTTTAAGAGGTCAGCAAATTGAACTCAAGTAGAATCAATGGCGTAGAAGCGTTATCATGTAAGCTTACGATGCAGTCAATCGAATATACCAGGTTCGAATAAGATTGACTATCCATTGCGATGATAGGATATGCACACGTGGGGTTTGCTTACCACAATATTGCACGCTATTAATGCCGTCAAACAAAAGCTCGTTACATTACAGTTACAGTAGATCCATTTTTTTGAAATTATCGTGTACGTTTTTTGTTTACGTGCGTGTCGGGCGCCGGAAAATAATGTCCTTTTCTGTAAGACACCAGGGATTTACTCTGATTTAAACCAGTAGAACCTACTTTTCTTCTTGCATCGACGCCATTGTGCGCCCGCTTAGAATTGGGTTTCTCCTCGCCATAAAGATGCCTATCGGCTCGAGGCATTCCTGGACATTCTTAAAAACAATTCTCAAAAAGGTATGCTCAGATTCTAAGTATCCAAAATTTAAAATTGTTTTACTTATTACTACACACCTGCTTTGTTTAGTTTTCTGCCAACGACTCCGAGTGGGCTATCGCGACTAAAAGTTAGTTACAGCAGGCTATGGACCTTTGGAACCGAAATACTCTGATCCCACAATTTTTGATTGACATTGGTCATTCCTCTCCAGCTGGTCGGGATGCTTGAGTCAGCGATAGTGTTGGGCCGACATTAATATTCTCCCAGCGTAACAACCCCATCACCGTCTCCAGCACATTAGTCCGCACACTCCGCGGATCCCCAACCGACGAACTCCCCGTCAGATGAATCTCGCACTGTTCCTCGCCTTCTTCATCCATCACTGGAACGAAATGATTCCACATACAAACATCGTTGGCCCAAATCTTCCCCAGCGTCCCGTCACCCAGCGAAGGTTCTAGAGGAACACTCTGCGTCACGACCGCGTAGCTTCCGTTCGGCTCCAGAAGACGGAAACGTAGATACAGCAGACGAACGAGTTTGCCTTCAGTATCTGGGTCCTGCTTCTCTCGAGCGATTAAATAAGTATCATCATTAAATTTCTGTACAATCTGCATACAAGTAATAAAAATAAATAACATTAGTATAAAAAGTAATAGCATACCCCAAAAAATAAAATTCGCTCTTGTTGCTCACATGGAACTGTTGGGTCGCAGCCTCCGACGCACTTCGGTACGTCACGAATTTGATCTCATTCTCCCAATTGCGACCTGCCATCTGCGTCGCCGATCGGTTCTTGAAGGTTTTTTTAAACGAATAATACAATTTATTGTTCTGGAAGCGATGCAATGTCGTCCACCCGAACAGCGAGACCAGTTGCGTATCTGCAAAGCCCACCGTGTCCACCAGTGTCCTCTGCTGTCTCGATGTCAAGATCACGTGCGTTGCTCGTTCGTATGTGAGCTCCGGCTGATCTTTTATGTCGCTAGGGTGTTCTTGGCACAGTTGCCTGTACACTCGCTCCTGTATCAGCTGGTCTCTGGTCATTTCCTTTAGTAAGCCCTCCATTCGGTCCTCCCCTTTGACTCTCTCGCCCAGTTGCTCCTGGAAGATTCTATTCTGTCTTATGAGCTTGTTGGACTGCTCTCGCGCGTCCTCCAGCTGTTGTTGGAGGCTTGCAATGCAACTTTCCTGTGCCCCCGAGACGGAACTTTGGAGCATCGATTGGTCTACTTGAGTCAACAGCTTCCCGTGTGTGTCTTGGAGATGCTGGGCTTCCTGTCGAAGAGACTCCATATGGTCTTTGTCTCGCTGTCGTGCCCGCTGCATTGCCTCCCTGTTGCGGCGCCGTCGCTTGTCTAGAGACGCCTGCCGCTTGAGCTCCTTCGTTGACAGCATTCCGGTAGTACTGTAATTCGTTCTTGCTATCGATTGATATGCATGTACCGGTATACACAAACTTTGTGCTCTAATAAAACATTTTTTTGCTGTAGACTAAATCACAAAATTCCTTCCAAGTAAATATTGTTTTCGAGTCCACAAATTCCAAGAAATTATGAATATTTTTTTCTGGATAATAAAACTTAATTTCTGTTTTATTATCACGACCTGTAGTTCCTAAATCATCAATTCCACAAATTTCATTTGCAAAACGTGTACAATGTAGGCATCTAGTCATAATAAAAGGACCACTGCTTTAGAAAATGCAAATGGTCTTTTTGTAAGTGCAAATTTGAGCCTCTCCTTTTACTGTTTCTGCTCAGTAATTGTGCACCCCTCCGCTTACAAACAGGATAAAATGTCGAAACGAAATGCAAAGGAAGCCCGGGCAGCGGAACGAACAAAAGAGAGAGAGCGGAGACAGCACCTAGGAAGTGGAGCAGGCTGGTAAGAAAATGTTAGGCGACAGCAGTCCCGCGACCCAAGACGGTCATATCGTGATGTCCGTAGCTATATAAGATGAGATGTACGGTACTCCATAGTAAAAACAGTTGGCCCAAAATAGGGAGTCAAAGATTAAAAAATGATCTAAAAACTAAGCATAGACGTATCCCATTCTCGTTGGAACGACTTTTTCAACTTTCCGGTCTTATGCTCAAATTTATCGTGCAGATTCATCTCTTGTCTGGCAAGCTTTTTGGCCGGGGTAGACTTCTTATTAGCTTCCTTCTGTGCTTTTACAGCGGTTTTCGCCTTAACAACCGCCAACATCATATTTTAGCTTAAACGCTCGCCACCAGAATAGTTTTCATCAACCCACTCGCCTCGGGTCCGTTTTTGCGGAATCAGTGCCGCTAAAGTAGACGACAGAAGATTGACAGCGTTGAGCGCGTCGACGTTTAGGTATCGCTCGCGCAAAACTCGCTTTTGGCGCTCCGTTACAACGAGTCTGGCTGTTGCAGCGGTATTATGCCCCAGATTAATGAAGATATGTGGTAGTACGTCATTTGAAACAGGAGGATCGCTGCCAATAATTCCGGTCATCATCCTGTCGAGTGACAGTAGATACACGCCAATCGTCTCGAGCCCTTTCATCGCATTATCCGGGCAGCACGCTTCAATAAACAGCACGCGAGAGATCCGAGGCACGAGGTCATGAACCCGCTGCCGAAGAGGCTCGCGCGACACCCCGTTTGTCGTTGCAGCCGTTCACACAGGCATGCTGTCATTTACCGATATTTACGAAGTTATGGCAAGAAATGGTTTTTGATGTGTCAGCTCATCTCGCCAGTACGATAGAGCTTCGCGAAGGCTAAGATTTTCGGTCTCAATATTTAGCATGCTGCCAATGAGCTCGCATTGACTTTGGTTGAGCTCAATTGATAAATGTCATTTACTTTCACTTCTATATAACCCGCTACCCTTCAAGCAACGTCATCTGGGTTAATGGGAGCTACATTCTTTGCTTAAGAACAGCCCACTCCACACAGCCATACACAAGAGAGAGAGAAGCCTACTGTGTTGTACATTCAGCAAGCCGATGGTGACGACGAACTCGCGACTATCGGAATGCGTGTGGCCTTGGATATACGCACGTTGAAGTTCGTGACCAGCGAACAAAAAGCTGGCGACTGCTGTACATTTGTACCCAATATACGTGGGCGAGCTGCAGCCAAGAACCGCGCCATCACTGTAGAAGCAGTACAGTGGTGCCAAGAGAGACCACGAGAACAAGATGGGGCGACATGGGGGCGAGCGGGAGCACGTTATGGCCCGCATGTGTATTACACATTGCGGACGAACCAGGCATGCCCCCCAACGTACCTGGTTGAGAGGGGGCGAGGGTCGTTTCCTACTTCTCATACAGCCGCATCCAGGGACACATCTGCCCATGTAGCCCCTCTTGCTCTAATAATATCGGCTGGGCCGCAGGGTGCTTTTCTTCTTAGATTTGACCCCGCATTGACGTCAGGCCAAGG